GACCCCCTGCAGTTTGCCTACCAGCCTGGCATCGGGGTGGAGGACACTGTCATCTACCTGCAGCACAGATCTCTCTCTCACCTAGAGCAAGCAGGAAACACTGTGAAAGTCATGTTCTTTGACTTCTCCAGTACTTTCAATACTATCCAGCCTGCTCTGCTGAAAGGGAAGCTGGAGGGAGCCGGAGTGGACAGGCAGCTGACAGCATGGACCATCAACTACCTCACCAACAGACCACAGTATGTGAGGCTCCACGGCTGTATGTCTGATGTGGTAGTCTGCAGCATGGGGGCACCACAGGGCACGGTCCTCTCACCCTTTCTGTTCAGTCTGTACACGTCGACTTTAGGTACATCTCAGACCACTGCCACCTTCAGAAGTTCTCGGATGATATGGCCATCATTGGATGCGTATCAGACGGGAATGATGAGGAATACAGGGGGGTCATCAGTGACTTTGTTGGCTGGTGTGAGACCAACGCTCTCCAAATAAATGCCAGCAAGACGACGGAGATGGTCATAGACCTCAGGAGGAAATCACCCCCCAACGGCACCGGTGAACATCGAGGGAAAAGACATTGAGACAGTGGACTCTTACAAGTACCTGGGTTTTCACCTCAACAACAAGCTGGACTGGACTACAAACACAGACGTCTTGTATAAGAAGGGCCAGAGTCGACTCCACCTACTGAGCAGGCTGAGGTCCTTCAGTGACTGCAGGACTCTGTTAAAGACATTCTATGACACGGTGGTAGCATCTGCCCTTTTCTATGGAGTGGTATGCTGGGGGACTGGATGTACCGAAAGGGACAGGAACAGGATGGACAAATTGGTACAGAGGTCAAGCTCTGTGCTGGGATGTCGTCTGGAGCCTGTGGTAGTGGTGGGTGAGAGGAGGATGTTGGCAAAKCTGACGGCCATCATGGACAACCCCCACCACCCTCTGCATGAAACTGTGAGTGGGGGCTGAGCAGCTCCTTCAGTCAGAGACAAACACCCTCGCTGCAGGACAGAATGCTTCCGTAGGTCATTCATTCCAACTGCAGTTAGACTGTTAGTTAGACTTGGCTGTTGGCGGTGGTTGGGGGATAGTCGGGGCGTGGCCTTGCTGGGGCGGGGGTGGTCGGTCGTGTTGGCGTGGTCCTGGCCGGGGGATGGCCGTCTGCTCCTCTTCACCCCAGAACAAATAGGTTTACCTCCTGGGTTCGGGTGTGGGCCACCCTCTGCGAGGGGCGGGGGCATACCCTGGACCTGGGGACATAAAGTGTGTATCGGGAGTGAATGGAGTGTGGCGTCTATATTGTATATCTTTGAATGAGTGGGTGCGAGGATGAGGGTGGGATTGGATGATTGTATTTGTGTATGCGTGGGTATGTGCCAGGCTGGGACGTGGACTTCCCCCTCCCCGGTTTGATTGTTGCCCCCATCCCATACCGTCCTCTGGTGGGGGGTGCCTTGCCCACCGTTCCGCGGAGGGCTCTTGGGGTCTGGGGCAGGGTGCTCGGGCGTGTGCTGTCTCGGCCTGGTGGCTGCCTGTCAGGGCTTGGGTCCTCTGGCCCTGTCGGGTCTCGGCTTGGGGGGTGCGCCCTGGGGGGTGGGCCCTCTGTGCCCATGCTCGTGCTTGCCCTAGCGCAGCGGGTGCCGGTGGGGGCCTGCATGCTCGTCGCTGTGGGCCATTGTGGGGCTGCTGCGTGTGGTCGCTGGTGGGGTTCTCCCGGGTCTCCCTTATGGTTTGACCTGGGGGTGGGTGTGCAGCTCTCCTTGCATTGGTGTACCTGGGGGCCCGGTGCTGGGGGTTGCTCCTGGGGTCTTTGGCTCTGGCCTCCCATTATGCCTGCCTCGTGCCTTGGGGGTCGACTCTGGGACTCCCCCACAGTCACTATTTTACATTCCGTTGGAGAAATCCTGTACATTTATGCTTGCTCACAACCGCATGCAGATAGGTGTTCAGATCTGAGGGGTTCTGAATGATCACCAGGTATATATAGGTGGGTGTTTGTTTATGTGTCTAAATGTATATATGTATGCTTTTGCTAAGTTTTGTTACCTTAATTCTTTGCAGGTGTGCAAACAGAAGTTGGATGTATTGTATTGTTTTCTTGACGTATATCTCACATATCATCAATTCTTTATTTCACTATTTTCCATTACATTGTAACCTTTTCTTTCCTTTCCTTCTTTTTTCCCCTTTCTTCTTCTTTCTTGTCTATCTATAAAATGCCACTGATGATGATGAAGCTAAGATACTAATATTCAGATATTCAGTACTGATTTCTACTGAAGTGGCAAGAAAAGAAGAAAAAAAAAACAAGCTGGACTGGACTACAAACACAGACGTCTTGTATAAGAAGGGCCAGAGTCGACTCCACCTACTGAGGAGGCTGAGGTCCTTTAGTGTCTGCAGGACTCTGTTAAAGACATTCTATGACACGGTGGTAGCATCTGCCCTTTTCTATGGAGTGGTCTGCTGGGGGGCTGGATGTACCGAAAGGGACAGGAACAGGATGGACAAATTGGTACGGAGGTCAAGCTCTGTGCTGGGATGTTGTCTGGAGCCTGTGGTAGTGGTGGGTGAGAGGAGGATGTTGGCAAAGCTGACAGTCATCATGGACAACCCCCACCACCCTCTGCATGAAACCATGGGGGGGCTGAGCAGCTCCTTCATTCAGAGACTTAAACATCCTCGCTGGAGGACGGAGCGCTTCCGTAGGTCATTCATTCCAACTGCAATTAGACTGTATAACACATCATGATGTTATCAGTCACTTGGACAATTCACCTACACTGCCATCACTAATATGCACCTTCATATACATTCATTTTTGCACTGTAATTTATGGTGTATATACTGTATGTATATAAATATGCATATGTGTTTATGTATATGTGTAAATGTGCATTGGTACGTGTACATTACTATATATCACGTGTATGTTGTGGGGTTGTTTTTTGTTTGATATCTTTTATTTATCTGTCATTATTCTTCTCAGCCTCTCCTGTATCAAGCTGCAGTAATGTGCAAATTTCTCCACTGCGGGATCAATAAAGTCTTATCTTATCTTATCTTATCTTATCTTATCTTATCTTATCTTATCTTATCTCTTAAAGATGGTATGCTATGGTATAGACTTCCTGATCCAATACATTTGGAGGGTGACTGTATTTCCTGGTCTAAAAACCATGCAGATGGTAAAGACTTTATTTACAAACAATGTGAATCTGCCTATCTTCATTTCTAAACTGTGTATCAGTTGATCAAATCATAAACTTTGGGGCAACAGAAATTGGGCCGAGGCAGGAGTAGTTTCGCAAGCAATGCACAAAATAATAAACTGCAATTTCCAAATATAGGCCAGAAAAATTCAAATGGCCATTACTGGCCATTCAGTTGCAAACCATCAGGATTCAGTTAAACTGCAACAAAAGTGGTTAAAGAAAAAACCTGTCAACATTCAGCGGAACGCCCGCGTGCCGTTTTGTATTTGTTTTATTTTTGAAGTATCATATCTGTTTCCTGTTCTGTTTGTGTCTGTGTGCAATGCATCAAACTTGACATCTAGGCCCTCTTTCGATTGACACCTCATTTGACCAACTGGGTTCAGGTTTCGACAATAATTTATCAGTGGTGACCAACTTCCGGTTTCCGTCTTTCTAGCTTTGATTGACTGTAAAATCAGCCAATCAGCTCTGAGCTTTGTTCTGACGCCACAGCTGTGTAGCCAATCACCGTACCTTTCATTTAATGTATAAATAGAGGGGGTGGGAACTTTGTTAGTGATGGAAGATGATAACACACTGGAGGCGGTCATGTTTTGGCAGTGTTACAATGCTAAGGAAGACAGCTAATGCTCACAGGAAAACGTTTTCCACCGTTTTTGGCCAGTTAGCTGATGAAACATGCTGATAAGATGAAAATATATTGGTTATTAAGTGTTTTGAATACTTCAAGACATGGAAAAGTGATTTTGTGGCCAGGAGAAGTAACTTTATTTGGAGAAAAAGACTTCTGGTCGCTATTTTGAATTGCTAATTTGGACATATTTGAGGACAAATATGCATCAAATGTGAATAAATAAAATATTTTTTCGCTGCTGTTGGTTTTAAAAGCTGTGTGGAATGTTAATGCTATGAAAGATATAAAGATATATTGTTTATTTTTGCGGTTTGGCCAGTTAGCTGATGGGAATTGGTGGAAATTTGGCTGAAAGTGCAGTGTTGGTGTAAATATTTATGCATATTAATATATATTTTTTAATTTAATCATGCAGTGAGTAAATATGGATGGTAGAATGTGTTTTGTGGGAGTTATATCTTTAATTTGAGCTCAGAGTGATGTCCATGTGTAGAAATTAGAGCATTTTAGACAAGTGTACAGTTTGGACATATGTAAATGAGAACAAATATGCAAATGAGACATGCTGGATTGTACTATGTGTCAAATATTCATATTTTATGATACTGTTACCAAATTTGAACTGGTAATAGGTGAGAATTAATATTTTAGCCCATTAAAATTTGTTTGAAAATATCTCATTTCCTTCATATTTATTTTAATTATTATTAACAAAAAATTAGGGAGAAAAATATCTTGATTTTTGTGTATTTTACTTCAATATACTAAATAGTAGTTACAGTTACATAGAATATGACTGCTGAAGTTAAAAATTCAGATTATTAGCTTTAAAAAGGGACCAAGCTTGTGAATTTATTCTAAAGGGTTCAAAAGCAGTACTTCATTTAATTTGTTTCTACTTTTTAAGGCGTTTTATGGTATTTTATGCCCAAAGGTTAACAGGTTTAATACCGTAACATCCACATTTATTTTAAAAATGGCAAATGACATGAGTATGTTTAGTAACAGATACAAAACACCACAAAACATGACTGAGTAAAGTTTCTGCTCTGGACTTACAATATAGCTGAATTATCTACAAGAATGTCAACATGTAAAATTGTCAATTTGGCTTAGTTAGTAAAGCACACTGAAGTGTGTCAACTTACCGTAAGAAGAGGCATTGAAGAGGTCAACATTAAAAAACATGTAACTACCATTGGTCAGCTGTTGGTCATGAGCCACAAGCATGATTTCTCGAATTCTGTCGGCTCCAGCACACATGATCACCACTAAGGAAAGATCACACAGACAATCATGGGTCAGACACAACAGTCTGTATTAATAATACATAAAACTGCTCTGAAGAAAATTTTGTAACTGATTAATTGAATATTAGATTCTGTATTGTATTTTATACTTTCTGATCATTTCAGTCTGTAGGTTAAAGCAGACAAAGAGTTGGTGTGTGTGTTATCATGTGTTCTTTCTTTAGTCTAAAAAAAATGAGTTACGTTCTGATGTCTGACGTAAAAGGTAACACCTCCAAATGTGTAACCAGGAAGAGATGAACATTATAAGGTCACTTCATTATTATAGTATAAAGAAGTTGTCAGTGTGTTAGAGTCTCTGCTTCTGAGCAGGGCCGCTCTGCTTTGTTTGGGTTTTCTTGATATGAGCCCAAGGCCTTATGCTGAGGTCTGACTGAGGCCTGTGTGCTGAGTGCTGCTGTGAACCTGATTGGAGTCAGAAGATTGACAATAAAGTTTTAAAGAAGAAATCCAGCCGAATCCTGTTTATTCAGACATACCATTTTGAACAATGCATATTTTTCCTACAGATCTATGTAAAAATGACTTGCTGTAAGAAATAGAGATTTTCTTTCAGAAAATAAGTCACTATTTTTAGAGATATTGTCGTCATAACAGGCTCATAAAAAACTAAAAACTACAATGTGAACACATAAATGTGACAACTGGTGTGTGGCTGATGATGATGATTTTATTCCCTCACGTGTCCCTCCTGCTGTTCTAGAATTTTTTGATTCTGTTACTACTTCTCAGATTTGAGACTTAGCACAACATTTGAGGCCTTCATTTTGTCCAAGAGACATCATCCCCTCCAGGCTTTTCAAAGAGGTATTTAGTACCGTTGGTCCATGGGTAGCTGGTTTCATTAACACTTCCTTTCGTTTAGGATGTGTTCCAGCAGCTTTCAAGCATGCCTTTGTTCAACCACTTCTTAAAAAGAATAATTTGGACCCTAATTTTCTGGCAAACTTTAGGCTAGTTTCAAAGCTGCCTTTTCTTTCTAAAAATTTGGAGAAGGTGGTTTACCTTCAGTTGCAGGACCACGTAGAGCTGTATGCTATTCATGAGAAGTTTCAGTCTGGTTTTAGGTCACGCCTTAGTACAGAAACAGCACTTCTCAGGGTGTGTAATGACTCGCTTTTAACTGTTAACACCAAGGTTCTTTACATTAGAACTGGAGGCCATATTAATGCCATCCAGAGGAGGTGAAAGGCTGCAAATTTGATCCCTAAAAATGTTCAGGTCCAAAAACCATAACCTCTGACTTATCTGAGTTTAGAAAGTTAAGAGTCATCCATGTTTTTATGTCTGTAAGACATGCCTGTAGTTTAAGTAACTGGTTGGACTCATCAGGGGTTATGGCCTGACTTGACTTCCTGTGGGAAGCAAGTCTTATTATGACCCCTGCACGCGAAGCGTAAGCGGGAATCTTTTTTTTTTTCATTGTTTTTTTCCCCAGTGATATTTGGTCAACCATAGCACAAAAACAGCTGCATCGATCAACATTAAATTTGGCAGGGCTGTAGAAGAGTCCGACCTACAATGCACCAGCCAACGGTTTTATGATACACCCCATATTTGAGGAGGGGGCTCCTTTCAAAAAGGGGGTGTCAGGACATGCAAAAATGCTTATAACTCAGAAACTGTTCAACATAGGAGCTTCAGATTTCATTTTTGTTGTTTAGCTCTGATGAAGCTCTATCCATCAGGCCCACCAATCAGTGCCCCCACCACCCCCAGACCCCCAATTCATCTGAAAAAGGGGTGTCTGGACATACAAAAATGGTTATAGCTCAAAAACTATTAAACATAAAAGCTTCAAATTTTCATTGGTTGTTTAGCTCTGATGAAGCTCTATCCATCAGGTCAATCAATCACACGATCTGGATTTTTTGTTGGTTCTTAAAAGGATCCCTGATTAGTTGTATCATTGGACTTTATTTGATAAACATTTATTTTAACTGTAAAACAAAGACTGTAAAAATACTGTAGGCTGTTTAGTTTTTATAATTTTTTAAACTAAAAGTTTAAAAGTATATTACACAGACGGGGCCATTTTATTCACACACAAAGAATTCTGGGTAAATGATGACGTGGATAGGTACTCGGTGCGAGGCTGCTAGCGAGCTATATCCACCCTA